GTAGAAAATCGACAGCATTTGTCCGCCAACGCAATAGCACGCGATAATATTTGCAGGTTCCCCTGGGAATAATGCAATGATGAAACTTGTTATAAAACTATTTTAGTCAGTTTCGCTTTGAATCGATAAGTCAGCGATGTAACCATAAAAGTATGTCTAAAGTTTTCTGTATAAAACAAAACGGGAATTAAATATTGTAAAATACAGTAACATCACTTGAGGTTCCAGCAAAACCTACATTGCGTTTGCAGAATTCCGGACTTTTTTTCAATATTTAGCTAGCTCTTCGTTTTACCGTAAGCCAGTATGATATTTCACCCTTGAATAGCTGGTACCCTCACCTGAATGATTCGTTGAGCCAGCTTCCAGAATCGTTTTTTTGCTATGGAAAAATGACAGAAAACCTTTGCGGCGAAGTTATACGAAATTTGATTTATTCTATTAATTGCTGCTTCTCGCCGTCCAAATGATAATTGAAAATGTCGAAAGCGCATTTGACTCAACGAACATTTGAGGCTGATAATACTTGACTCGTGAATTATTAGTTTGCCCTTACGAGAATGCATTTTAAGCATTATCCCTGTGGAAACATCGCAGCAAGGCTCAGTGTTGACGTCTGGCACCGTCTTAAAGGCACGCTCTGGGATAGAGCATTCTCACCTGCTCCATCCCTGAGCGTAGTAGAGACAAGCATTTATGTGGCGCCCCTTTTGCGGCTTGAAAGTACGCGATAAAGGCGCTTGAAAGTACGCGATAAAGGCGCCAGAACTCGCTTGCCCGGCAATCCACACCTTCGTCTGCAAGCCCCGCCTTCTGCTGGCACACTTAAGGCGGCCAGAAAAGAGCAACGTAGTTATGACAACGATAGCATTGCGGTTCAATGTCATTGACATTGGAACAACTGGAGCTAAGCTCAAAAACAAAAGTCGTCCCCAACACCCCCTTTCTTCTTATCTCTAAATGAAATGCAGCTGAAATAGAGGAGGTTATTATTCATGGCGTGATCGGGGCTTTCTTTTGCTTTTCCTTTCTTATCTAGACCGCGACCCGCCTCCAGCTTTATTACTGAACAAGCCCCGCTCATCGGGTCAGGCCCCGCCCACTACCGTACCCTTTTAGCCTAGCCCCTCCCCATACACGACCTAAGGACAACCTCCCACCCATCCGGGCCCATGTCCCAAGTAATTTCATGGGTCTACGTAGCGAGTGAGCCTAGTGGTTACAAACAGACAGACAGACAGACAAACATCCTTACTGCTTTATATATAGAGGGATGCTCTCACACACCCACTTCATGCCAGAGCTGGCCTCTGAACCCTATCCGATGGCAAATGTTGGAAATTTAATAAGTCTCTCAGGGAGGAATTTCCGCAAAAAGGGCTCCATGACGACGGTTTCTGAATTGTCTTAATTGAAGTTATTCGAACACGTGGATGGTTTCTTGCTGAGTTTTGGCTTCGTCAAAGTGCGTGATTACTCATGATCACACTAAGAGGTATCTCTAGAATGTAATGAAAAGTTACTTATAGAGACATTAGCTATCCATAGTCCACAACTAGAAGTAGAAGGACTAGTTCTCCAATGTATTTTTCATGTGCATTTCATTCCCCTTTCAAGTGCGTATTTGACAGGGATCTCTGGGCAAATCCACAAAAGAAAATGCGGTGGTCTGTATTATTAGTTACTTATAATCAATTTTGGCATGAGAATCGCCTTTTTTCAACTTTGCTCACTTTTCTTTGTTAGCTAACATTGGATTAGGTGCGTACATAAGCGTTAGTGATCTGAATGATTTCGATTCTAGTTTTATTGGTGGCCAACTTCTGCTATCGCCAGTGTGAATTCGTGGTACAAGGCCAGTTAATTGTGAAATGACCGGACGTGGGGTCGTTGTCAGTCAGTTACTTATAAAGTGTTTGACATGCTATGACAATCAGAAATTCAAAACACATTGGTGCAGGCCCGCATGCGCGATCGAGATTCATCCGCCAGATGCGTGCGAATTGACCTAAGTATCACCACATGCCGCTACACCGTCTCCTCCCAAAAGCAAATAGGGATCAGCTCTTCTTCGAGCGCGTCTGTAACCTGATAAAACTGTATGAAGCCACAATGAGTGATTGAATTCTGACGATAGAGCCACTCCAATAGCCGTGGAAGCCTTAAGAAGTCAAGCACTAGCTCCAGCTGACCACAGTAGTACAAGAATTTAGTTGTACATCGAAGACGTTTTTTTAATTGAAGCGGCAATGGAGAATCGTGTACTGATGGGTATTGAAGAATACGACTTCACAAGCTTTTTGGACTGGCCTGATTGTGGAAAGTGGCCTATCATCGGCTTTCGATGTGTGTTTGGGACCCTATCTATAAAAGTGAAGGAGAATCACGGATCATCCTATTACTACATACATGGCAGATTCGTTCTGAGTGCCCTGAAGGTCCTTTTATGTACATTTTCATTCGCTGGCGCACCTTTCTACAGTAAGTGCTGGCATATACGATTTAAAGGCAAGATTCGGGATAAAATAGGTGTGGAAAAGCGTTCAGTTATGAAGCTATAGGTGGGAGGTGGTCTGTAAAAGAGAAGGAAAGCAAACGAAACCACCGATTACGCCCCGTACAGAGACCTCCCCTATTTCAGCCACATTCCACCTTGGGATAGAGAAGAGGCGAATTGGACGAGTTTTCACGAACCTAACTCTACTTGCTCCAGTGTCAATAACATTGGATCGCGCTGGGACCACTGCCTCAAATGCGCCCGCGCTTTTCAAGCAGCGCCACGTGGCAACCGACAGCGAAGGGTGGGGCTTGCGGACGAAGGTGTGAGTTGCGGGTTGGACGAGCTCCTTGCGCCTTTGTCGCGTACTTTCAAGCCGCAAAAGGGGCCGACATCAACACTTGTCCACCTGCCTACTACCCCCTGGATGGAACAGGCGAGCCCGCCTGATCGCGGAGCGTGCCTTTAAGCACTCAATCATGCCTTTAGACAGCGATTCGCCAAGGATTCAGCAAAAGAGGCTGTAGGGCTCGCATAGATAAGAAATGTAGTTCGTGATACATGAAGCTTTTCGCATTAACATTTGGTTCGATTGCAATTAGGAAATACGACCTCAGATAAACACATTGCGGACCGCCGTTGTATGAGAACCTTCGTATCTTTTTTATATTTTTCAAAAATTGAATCATCATTAATTCTATCAACAATTTTATCAGTGATGACACGTATGGTTTCCCGGCTCTGAAAATGAGTGCAAACAGTTCAGGAGCATTGAAAAATGTCAAATAAATCAGATAAAACTGTGCTCTTCCGCGCAACATCATGCGCTAAATGGTGGCGCACGCGGCACGTGTGATCTTCAATCGTATAAATAAACAAGTGAAACAAACCAGGGTGTTAAAAATAAAATCGGCTTAGGCCTATTCCAGTGGAATTCAATTCCAGAGAAACGTCCTATCCTCGAACCTTACGGAGCCCGTGTCAATCTAGTCTGCCCCAAACGATGTGTTCTGAGCTCAGAGCTTCCTTTCGAACTGTAGGACTATGGACTCTTTTCTTTAACTGAGTATAGAAAATAGTCCTGTTGCGATGTTTCAGCACATGCTGCTGCGTTTACAATAGAAGTCATGATTAAATATTTTTGCAAGCGTTAAAGGAATCTTCCACGGACCATGGACCAGTGGGCGGGACCGGAAGTGGTTTTGCGACGAAATGCATGGTAGGTACGGATCCACGTTCATGGGAAGGTTTGAAGTGAATCCTGTTCACGTTCGTGCGTTCGACACGTGGATCCGTACCTACCATGCATTTCGTCACAAAAACTTCCGGTCCCGCCCACTGGTCCATGGTCCGTGGAAGATTCCTTTAAGTTCGAAGCTAATAAAAAACAAAAAGAACACTGTAAGGTCAAACTAGTCCGTTCAGCTTGTGTATAAATTAACCGTTCGTCTCTCTACCGAAGCTATCAAGAGCGATCTCCTTTGATACTTGAGGCTACTGAAGATGTGGAAGATTGATATGACCCAGGCTAAATGCAGTCTCCGAAAGTATTGAGCGATCTCTATCCCCTGCAATATCCCAGCTATTGCTAGCTAGGCACTCAATTCTTGATAGAATGCCAGAAGACTACAAAAAACACCAGGGCGGTTAATGTGGTGTGGTGGCAAGTGGTCATGACCCCACAGGGCGCGGTCTGGGGATCGAATTTTCGTGTCATGGCGCCGTCCGAGTCAGCCCAAGCCTCCATGCATTCCGGTGTACATCGTAAAACCAGACTATCTGGAGAGGGTGAAGAACTATCGGCTGGACAGACATTGTATAGCCCAAACCGCATTCAAACGCAACCACGAATGCACAATGGAGGAGTAGAATGCATGCCGCATCCCAAAAAGGTCGGTTTGGTCGAAGCCAAATGTTTTATTTATTTTTGCTTTCATAGAAACGCAGAAATTGGTAATTACAACAAGGTCCTACTTTGCAAGCTAATTTCGTCCTACTCGTATTTGCTCAAAAACTATCTTTTCATATCAAACCTCCATTAAAAGTGCTTGGAGAATTTAACCTTTCTTGAAACATGGTGAATTGTGCCTACAAGTTATTTATACCTTTCGTACTTATAGTGATTCTACATGGCTTATGGTTAGCTCGAATTTCACGTGAAATCCTTACCGGAACTAATTAATTCGAAAGCATTATAATGCGATATCCACGCCAACACGCTGGCTTTTACACAGATTATTAGGCTCTCCGTGAAAATTTTGACATCAGAAATGTAAGCCGGGGTCCTTTACAGCAGGAAAGATTCGACGTTCCTTCTAAGAAAAGCCTGCATGAAAGGAACTTCATGGAGCACATAGAAATTTCTAAACCAGGATCATAGCGAATATTGTCACTGAACACTGCTTGATTCTTTATTCAGGTCTCTGTGGCATTCGTGTACAACTTGCTGTTCGTGATTGCCCGCCAAGTATTCGTCGATCTCATTGGGCCGACGGGAGTGCCTATGTGTGCGAGTCCAACGTCCATCCCTCCAAATATCACCATGGAGTGCAACGACGACCAGTTGATGAACATGCAGGTTTGTGATCGTTTTCATTGCGCGAGTACTTCTGTGGTGAAAGATTCTGTAAGGATAGGATATGAGGAGTTATGCTATGATATATGATAGGGCGAGCGAGTTCTATGTTGATTGGTGTGATAGGTGTCCTTTAGCAGCTTCACTTTTGTGATTTCATTACTCTTCTCATTTCTTATCTTTTTTTTGCAATATTCTGTGTAATGGAGCGTTCAGAGCTGGCGATCGCAGCGCGATTAGGTGATTAGGCGATCAGGCGATTAGGCGATAGCTCATGGGAGGAGCAACAGATCAATACGTATAATTCTCTTATCTCCTACTCGCCTACTCCCCTACTCACTTGATCGACTGCTCACCTAAGCCACCTAATAGCCTAATCGCCTAATCGCACGTACGATCGCTAACTATGAACGCTCCATAAGATAGACGTAGAAAAGAATTCATAACTTAACAATAAAAGCTGATAATGGGTCATGTGATTCGTACGTGATTCTATGCTCTCTGAGCAACCTTTGCTGGAGCAGGTCTGATAGAGCCCATAAAAATGCTACGCTAGTCATGTGAGTAAACCTTTGAAAAATTTCGTCAAATTTTAGAATGAATGTTAGCTCCAGGTGTACCAATGAAAAGACTGTGTACCAATGATCAATGAATGCGATCGGAATCCGATGCTGGGCTTGAATAAGGAGTTCCTGAATTCTGCTTTGAGAGTTCTGGAGTATAAAAAAGTTCTTCGTTAATTGCTCTTTTCCTCCCGATTTTGGTTAATTGCTTCATTTCCTTCCAGAGACTTTTTACCCCATCCGATTTTTTGAAATGAATCTGTGCAGCGATATCGGACTCTAGGAACATTTGGAAAACAATATGTCCTAGAATTCGGTCCTCAGACCATATGCATTTGAAAGTGCCATTCTGATTACACAGGTGGTGTGAGGCAAGCTCCTCTTGCCTCCTCTGTTACCAAACGGACTTGGAACTTTGAGAATTTTCCCCACTAGATCTCAATCAGAGATTCCATTAGATCTCAATCAGAGATCTGAATAACGCTGGCCATCGATTTGGACCAAATTACATTATGACAGCTATGCTCCGTGACGATTTGCGGAGGTGCTTCAAAGACGACCGAGTTTGGCTTGATCTTGTTGTCATTGATCAAAAGCCCTTGTAAAAATCTATCATTCCCAATTTTGCACCGTTGTACAAAACGTTCTTCATACACTGCTGTTGGGAGCACCCATCAAAGTCTCTCAATCGTTCACTTGTAAGTCACTGTGAACTCCCTGTGTTGCAACCCAATAAACTAAGCAGATAGCAGAATCCTTAGACACAACACTGGATGAAATAAAGGCTAGTGCTGAGCTAGCTAGCGTTTTTTTCGTTTTTTGAGCTATCCACCCGTCCCCAGTGCACCTGAGAACGTTCTTGAATAAAGAACCAATAGTAGTGTGCTTTCGCCGTAGCAAACTTTTTGTCATCAAAGAAGTTTGGCGTATTGTAGTGTACATACGTGCGCAGGTCAGGACCACAAGAAAAATACTTCTGTTCATCATGATGCTATATTCAAATGAATGGAAGAAAAAAGCGGAACTCGTCAGCTCCCAAAAATAAAAGTCGGTTTTGCAGCTGATTTTTGCAGTTAAGCAGTTATGGCGCGACTCCGGTGCGGACGGTGACGTGTGCATCCATAGAGGCCTAGTCTCTTGCCCTACATCTATTATTCACGTTATGGTAGTACAGGCTGTAATACTTGCGAGCCCTCTACGCTCAAGAACTTCAATTAAATTCTATGTATTTAATCAAAGTCGAGTACCCAGGTACTCCGAAGGGACCCTTCGACTCTATCTCGAGAATAGTGCATGCTGATCTTCTTTCTCGTGCTCCCTATTCCTCTCCCCGAAGAGAAGGGGCAACTGCAATTTTGAGTTTTTCAGGTGATGCCCATGATTGAACTCTACTCGGACATGGGCTGGTCGCGCTGGTGGTGGACACGACTCATGTGGGCGACTCTTGATCTCGTCATGGACACTATCTATTGGCTTGACATCTTCGTTCGTACCCGCACTGGTGCGTCTCTCGTTTGGATTAGTTTCGAAGAAATATCTTGAGAAATTGTAATTATGAGGCCTTGTTGTTCAGGATTCCTCGAGCAAGGTCTCGTAGTCAGAGACATCGAGAAAATCAGGAAGCAGTACTTTGAGAGCAAACAGTTCAAGTATGATATAATAAGCATCATACCACTTGATTATATTCTCGGTAAGCCTTCTCCTCTATCGTCTTCCACTTCACCCAGTGAGCCATCATTCAGGGTGGCCGTGGCCTTTTCCATGTGGTTTCGGCCCGTTTCATGGTTTCGGCCGTTTCCAGTTGTCCGTATAAATCGCCTCCTGCGTATTGACAGGGTGCAGGACTGTATGGAGCGAACAGAAACCAGGTAATCCACTATTTCCCAATGTGTGCTCTCCTTTGTATTATGGGGCCCATGAAATGCAGCTACACGGCAGATGACTGCAACGAGGGGCGCCATCGCAAGACCCGGGGGTATCCTCCAGGAGTGAGCCTAGGAGCGAGCAGGGACATAGGGGAAATGGAAAATGCTCACACATCTTGGAGTCTCTCCTGCTCTGCCTGAGGCATAGTTCCATTTCCAACAAAAAGGATAGGTTTTACGCTGTTTTAAATGCATGCCACCGCAATGCCCCGTATCTTGCGATAGTGGCTACTGAGGTCTTAAAACTCTTTCAGGAGTTCAATGCCGAACGCCTTTCGAGAGTACTTTGCGTCGTCTGGTACATCATAGTCATCATTCACTGGAACGCATGCTTCTACTTCTGGATTTCTGAGATGATCGGTTTGGGATCGGACGGCTGGGTATACGGTCCGTTGAATAAGCAGAGTCTTCCCGAGTGAGTTTCACAACATGAAACTGGTAATTGCCCCTTTGAACACCACCGAAAATCTCAAGAAGACGTTCAGGAACGTCAAGGACACACTTCTTCGCCGGTACATCTACAGCTTCTACTGGTCAACTTTAATTCTGACGACTATCGGAGAGGTGACCTAATTCCCAAGTTGATCTATCTGCCCCTTTACAAGCCATTTTGTGTAGGTCCCGTCTCCTGTACAAAATGTGGAATACCTATTTGTGACGTTGGATCTGATGTGTGGAGTGCTCATTTTCGCTACCATCGTCGGTAACGTCGGAAGGTAACCTAAACCCTAAGAGCCAGTAGGAAGTACTAGCTAAACCTCAACTATTTCAGCATGATTTCCAATATGAGTGCTGCTCGAACGGAGTTTCAAAACAAAATGGACGGCATTAAGCAGTACATGGAGCTCAGGAGGGTCAGCAAGCAGGTCAGTGCTTTCTCAAGACTATACCCAAGGTAAAGCTCGCGAAGATGTGCCGTTTCAGTTGGAGATGCGAGTGATCAAATGGTTCGACTATTTATGGGCTAATAAGCAATCACTAAGCGATCAACAAGTTCTGAAGGTGCTTCCCGATAAGCTGCAAGCTGAAATCGCCATGCAAGTGCACTTTGAGACGCTTCGAAAAGTCCGCATTTTCCAGGTAAAATATATGAATATTTCATCCTAAACCAGAAAACCGATGCAAATTCGATATTATAATCCGTTGGCGTGCAATTATCACTATGAGGGAGATATACAAGAATTGCCTCCCATTTTGCAGGAACCTTCCATTTTTCTTGAATTTTCTGATGAGGTCTAGGAAGAGAAAAGCAAGTGGTCGTGTAATCCGTCCGCCTTGTCAGTAAGAAATGTTGACTGCTGACCTTCCCATTCACTGCGGTTTTAGCAGGCAGGAACTTCCATTAGAGGAATCCTTCGCGGAAAAATTCTTGCATTCTTTCTTGACATGAATGTGTCAGTTGTGATCACTGGAAACAGCACACAAAGATTCGGTTTCCGAAGAGAAACAAACGTACAAAACTACACTCTATGGACATCGAAGGTAATTCGGGCGGAGCCAAAGGCGAGGCATGGAAAGAAGTTGGTTTGGCCGGCGACGCAATGAAAGAATCGGGTTAAAGCGCGCGATTTCGGAGAGTAGAGACAAATCGATCGATAGAATAGGATGGAGTAGAAGTGTGAGATGTGAATGCAATAAGCAGAAGGCCAGAAAGAGTTTCTAGTGAAGGCACTCCAAGAACCAAGTGGAAGCATCCCCGTCGCCAGCATTTGTGAAAGACGTGGGCATTTGAACGCGTAGCAGCCCTTTCGATTTTTCGAATTTTTTTTTACCAAAACAAAAGCAATATTTCTGTTCTTTTCATTCTTATCGTGGATAATGAGTCTCAAGCCAGTGATTTATGGCTGAAATAGAATCATGATTTTTCCGTGATTCCTTTAAGTAAGTTCTCTCGTATGCATTCTAACAACCAGTGAGCCTTGTATCAAGGAATTTTCCTCAACACGAACCTACCCATCACCTTTCCTATGAATTTCCTCGAAATGCAACAACTCTCTCCCTCTCCCACGACCCCTTTCTATGGGAAAGGGTTATGTGACAGCTAGATTAGGAACTATTACGCTACATCCCTACAATTCACTATTCCCATCAGGATGCAGCGTGCGTTGCGGAATTTCAGCCTGTGGGTCGTATTTAGCCCCTTACGATGGGATCGTGGTAGTGGCTAGGTTAGCAGTGAGCACAGCCTATTCACTCAGCTTATTCTGAGACAAACCTTTTCTCGTGATCGAATTGTTTCGTTTTCAGGATTGCGAAGCCGGTCTGTTGGCCGAGTTGGTGCTGAAATTGCAGCTGCAGGTGTGTTCTGACGATAAAAATAATACCATCCAGAATGCAATAAATATGCGTGTCATATTTAGGTGTTTTCTCCTGGCGACTATATTTGTCGGAAAGGAGACATTGGTCGAGAGATGTACATCGTGAAACGGGGTAAACTGCAGGTGGTTGGCGATGATGGACAGAAGGTAAGTACTTATTTACAGCAGTACTCAATAGTATTCTTATACCGCTAATACGAAAACAAAGCGATCTTTCGCGTACTTCGATGCGCCACACAGTTTCTCCATGATTTTGACCATTGACTGTTTCACTTCACGTATGTGAAAGGTTCCAGAGTGCGAGTTTCGCTCTTCAACCTAACTTGAACAACTTTTATAATGAATTTCTGCCCTGCTGTGTCTTTCCAAATGTGTCAGTAACTATAAGATGGATGACCAGCAATATGAATACCGATTACTTTCTGTTTTATGTCTTGCTACCACTGGCCGATGTCAGACTTTGCGATTGGAGCGATTTTGCACCAATTGCAGGAGCGACGGGAGATTTACACCGCCGACCACCGATAATTCGCGCCATCAGCTCGTAAATCTCCCGTCGCTCGCAGCTCCCTGCCACAACGGCCAAGGAGGCACATCACGGCCCGAGGCTCCAAAGTGCGAGCGATGGCAGTTAACGCGCGAGCGCCGGCCGTGTGTATCGTGTCGGGTGTAAACGCCGTCGCTCCTGCAATTGGTGCAAAATCGCTCCAATCGCAAAGTCTGACATCGGCTAGTCAAAAGTTTATGTTGGTTAAAACAATTCATTTCTATCTAAGAACTGTTTTCGCAGCCCCGAAATCGAGTTCATTCTGAAAATGAGATGTTTAGGTGTTCGCGACGCTTCAAGAAGGTGCTGTCTTTGGAGAGCTCAGCATCCTGAACATTGCTGGTAGGCTCTCTTTCTTAGTTAAAGTGGACTTTTTAATCCTATCATTCACAACTTCTTTGTTTCGTGACAAGGAACACTAAAACCATTTCAGGAAGTAAGAATGGAAATCGTAGAACAGCCAATGTCCGGTCTGTAGGCTATACAGATTTATTTGTGTTGAACAAAAATGACTTATGGAATGCTCTGAGGGAGTATCCAGATGCCAGAAAACTGTTGCTGGCAAAGGTGAGTTCGGTGGTAGTGATAGTGGTGCCCTACCACCGTTGATTTCACTAATTACGTTTACAGTAGTGAGTTTCAGGGACGAGAGTTATTGAAAAAAGATAACTTGCTAGATGAAAATGCCCCCGAAGAGCAGCAAACTGTAGAAGAGTTGGCCGAGCAGCTCAACAATTCGGTGAAAGTTCTGCAGACCAGGTGCGTTCGATTTGGATTGAACTAAATCATAGTCATGTCCCATTCGCCCGGTTGGTTAGCCAATAAAAACGCAGCACCTTCGAATCCGCTTAGAATCGTGGAGGCAAATGAATAAGTTATCAATACAGCAATTTTGCGAGAATCCAATTTCAAATTGCGTTGTAGCTAATTATGAGCTTATTATGAGCATTTGACTACTCTTTTCTCGCAACTCTCTTCCGGTGTTTCCCACTCTCCGTGCCTTCTGCCAAGCGGTTCGTGGAATCTCGACTTTAGTCCCGCCCACTTCGGTGGACGCTCCGCCCACCATTTTCACATTCCTCCATTCTCTCACTCCTATGTTCACTTTTTCAGGGTTCTCCTCTCCCTGAACCGACTTATAGCTTCCACGGGATATCCCACCCGCTTTTGTGCACGTCCACCCACCATAAGCAGTGAGCTGTCATATGTACATTCACAGGATGCCTGTCATAGCGGCCAGGGGGCAATGAATATCCTCATTCGCCTCTTTTTTACACTGGCTTAGCACGAAGTATTCAAAAAGCGCGGCAATTGCTTTGCAGAACTTATTTTTCGTGTCTCATCCTAATAAAGGGCGGAAAAGTGGTGTAGTGGCAAGTGGCACGCTACCACGCGAGCGGTCCGGGGATCAAATCCTGGGTCGTGAGTCGCCCGGGCCAACCAAGCCTTCCATCCCTCCGGGGTCGGTTAATTGGTACCAGACTTGTCTGGGAGGATAAAAACACTGACTTGTACATCGGCTGGCCCCCGCAAGTCATTGTATAGGCCACATCGCATTCAAACGCCACTACGAATGTACAAATGGAAGTAGAATGCGTGCCGCATCCCAAAAAGGGATTGATCAACGGCAAATGCTTTATCTCCTTTACTAGTTCTAATTCTCGCGAAGAAAGGAAATCTCTCTGCGTGCACACGCCCCTTAGGTTTCTTGTAGGCGACGCGAAGTGTTGCATCACATGCTCTCCACTACCCTACTGGAGTTGACCCCCATTACCACTTACAACGTCAATAAGGCTCTCAACATGACTTGAAAGTGCTTGAGACAGTGTTCCAGTTTTTCATTTCCTTGTGGGTTAAGCCCAACATCTACTGCCAAAAGACTGATCTTGGTGACTTTCAGGATGGCGCGACTAATCGCGGAACACACGAGTACTGAGACAAAACTTAACAGTCGAATTGAATTTCTGGAGAAGCAACTGCACAGGTAAAGTTGTTTTCTCTTGATGATCCGATATCTCTCTTGCGAAGTCTTTGTTCAGGTATAAGACCATGGTCAGGAAACACAAAAGTCTACAGGTGAAGTCAATGAGTCAGGACGACGATTGACTTCGTTCTTGATCACTTATTCAAGCACCACAGGCGAACAAATGAGGAACAACGCTCGTTAGTATGTTGGAGTGATGCGTTGCACACGAATTGTGCTTCCGTCTCATTTTTGATACGCTGTCCTCGTCCGCATTCTCTCGTCTTGATGGCGGTTCAATGACCTCGCACGCTTCAATTTTTGCCACACGATAAGTGGCTCACGCACCCCTGTTTCCTGATTCGCTTTCGTTCCCCCTGGCTCGCAGATTCGCCGTCCGTCAGCTCTGGTAGGTGAGGTAGCCATCATCCTCCGGGCGCTTGTAACCCGGCTTTTTGTGGCAGAGGACATGGAGGAAAATTCTAGCAGTCACGTAACTCAAAATCGACGACGCAGTGTGCATCACCCGTTTTGGGCTTTCACGAGACTAACTAAACATTGGGTCCCATTCAGTCGTCGTCTCACACACCCAGCGGCTTTCCTTCCTCTCTAAAATTGAAATTTATGTAAGCGGGAACCGCTTGCGCACTACATACCCCTTTACTGTATGGGACCCTAGATGCGCGAACATCTGGTAGAGCGTACAAAAGAACACCCCATTGGGACTGGAAACGATTTTTACATCCTTTTCATTGGTGGCTTTTTTGTATTTTCTCAACACATGTACTTCAACTCATCTCACCGAGCAATCTCTCAAACGGGTTTTTTTAGAGGGGATGATTTAGAGATATACTAATTACTACTCGTCTTCCTTATTTGGTGCTCCAAATTGACCTTGTTCGATTTTTACTGTAGCTCGTAAGCACATCTGAGGAAATCCCAGTAGATTTTTATCTCTGTTAGAATTCGGTGTCACTTGTCTTCAACGTTTTGCTCAGAGCATGCTTATCGTTAGATTAGAGATATATGTGAGTATTGTACAGTACTGCATTTACAGAGGTTGTATTCGCATGTATACGATCCACTGTCATTATAAAAATTTGTTACAATGTTCAGTACTAGACAAAACTGTCTCAATTTCATGACGACAGCGCGCGTTGTTGCTATTGTTTGGCAAAGGTCCCGGTCCGTGCGGAAAAAGGAGTTTGCCACGGGAACGTGGTGGATGAGTCGAGCTTATCGAACTTCTCAAGATCTCGTAGACCATTGCGACGTTATCTGAAGCGCTGGTCTGACTAGAACGAAGTGAATAGACTGCTCATAGAAGTTATTAGGTAGAGTCATAATAAGTGCCGATTTCTTCATACCCGCACCATCTTTCACAAAGAATGTCTGTGTTACCAAAAGAGCGCTATAGGGCTACTTCAATATCCTTCCATTTTACAAAATTTGACAGTCAGTGCTTCTCGCAGTGAAGCAATGGAGCCACCCGTTTCGTTCTGTCGTCACTGCCTACTTTACGAGTTCCGTTTGGAGCTTAGCGAGAGCAGCCGACCGGAGTATATGTG